AAACTAGTTTAACGATTGGCTTGGGCTTCTTCCTTGAAATCTTGAATACAAATCTTGAAATACTTTGAAGTTTTTGGAGAGAGAGAAAACAATGGAACAAAAAGATGAAATAACAATGATCGCTCCCTTATGACTAGTTCTCTATTTATATAGACTTTCCGGAGTATCTTCGTGTTCGTTAAGGAAAAATGAATCTTTTTTTGAGTAAAAAAATCTTTTGGAAAATAGGAAACTGTTCAAGTTTTATATTTCCCTTTTCCCAATTAGGAACTTTCTCAGCGTCTAAATAGGATTAAAACTTGATTTTCAAAACGTCAGGAAATCATTCTCATGTGGGTCGCAATGCAGTGGTGCAAGGATAGGCTTGACATTTTAGGCCCAAGGCAAAACCGTAAACTTCCGGCATGAAGCGTGCTGTGAGGCAACGGCAGGGCCGTGCTAGCCTCTGAGAGTTTTTGCTTACTTTGCTCTTTTCCTGTGTCATAAATCCTATAAATTTCCCTTAACATCAAAGTAAAATTATGATCAAGGAAAACTTTGAACAAAAACATAAATAAAACTAAATAAAAACTAATTAAAGTAATTAAAACTACTAAAATTCCTAATAAAATTATATTAAAAATACTATAAAAATAACACTTATCGCTCAATAACCAAGTAGGCCCAAAAGGTGATCATGATCAAATGCTTTTTTGGCTATTTGAGACATCTGCAATATCTCATCTTCGACAGATATCGATAATGTGGTATGTCTTATTTTATTTTCCTGTTCTGGATAAATCCAGGATATTTTCCTGTTGATTGTCCGGTGGGGGCCTAACCAAAACTCAGCGCCATTGCACTTCAGTTTCTATGTCGCTATCCTCTCCATCTCGCTGTTTGCTTTTGAATCTTGGTCTCTTCCTGTTTTGCTTTGAATCTTGGTCTCTTTCCTGTTTATTTTTGCTCTGGGTCTATCATTGTTGCTTTTATTCACTGGCTTTTTGGGCTTTGTCTTAAACCTTTGCTTTGTTGATTGAACGCCCCATCCTTAATAATTCTCTGCTTGGCCATGTGATTTAAATTAACCTAGCAATTCTATTTTGGCATTTTTTCCTTTAGCATTTACCAATATAGTTTAGAATAATATTAATAAATAAAATAATATATAGAAACATATTATCAATATATATAAACAATATAAACATATACTGATTTCTCTATTTGTGCTAATCTTTTAAACTCAATTTATCTCAAATATCAACCCCAACCATGGCCTAAGAAACCCAAAAGGCGGTAGCAACAGTATCAATTACCGGTGTCAAAACGGTTAATTCATCCGGTTCAACACCAACTTACTTAATATGCCGTACCATTAGGGTAAATATGAATATTTCTCATTTAATAATCTTGAGGCCTAAGAAACCCAAAAGGCGGTAGCAACAGTATCAATTACCGGTGTCAAAACAGTTAATGCATCCGGTTCGACACCAACTTACTTAATACGCCGTACCATTAGGGTAAATATGAATATTTCTCATTTAATAATCTTGACAATAATTTAAACATGTACACAATAAGAAAATTAAACGAGCGATACAAATATAACACATAACCCGTTTAATTAAATGGATAAAAAAGTACAATCAATTTAATTAAATGGATTCATATAACCCATACGGTATAACCCATATAACCCAATTGATACATATAATTACCATTTTACCCTTAATTAAACCGATTAGATAGATTACCGCGAGTTAACCTGTGACATGATATATTTAAATTTGTGTTACATAAGGGTCATAATTTATTACACGAACTCATTTAAATTCAATTTTAACTCATTTGATTTCTGTGTTAGGTGAATTATATTCCCGTGTCAGACAAATTGTGTTTCCATGTCATGATCTTTTTTTAACATCTCTACTATCAATTAAGGAAAAATTGGCGGAGAAGCCTATTATTGAGAAATAAATAACACCAAAATCGGATTTAGAGTCAGAGGCGCAGGAAAAAGACTATAAATATTTGATGTTGAACTAATTATGGTACTTGTATCAAAAATTTAGATTTTTTTACAATTACAATAATATTTTTTATTGTAAAATTGATTATGATAAGTTGAATTTTAAAAGATTGCTTAGCTTTCTAACTATTAAGATTTTAATCTGTTATGTTAGGTATGTCTATGGTTTGAAAACAATTAATTTTTGTTTCAAAACCTCTAATTTCAGATATAAAAATAGTGGAAGCAAAATGCTTTTAGGGAGTTTTTAAAATATGAAATCCTTGCTTTAATACCACCTAACACAACGAGTAGCGTAGAAAAATATGACACATGATCAAATCCTTGAAAAATAAATAAGATATAAAGCAAAAACACAATTTCATTAGAGAAAATTCATATTTTATATCAATAATAAGAGAATTTTTTTTACAATGTTAAATATTAAAGATATATATAGAGTTAAATTAATTAGGAGTAGCATAATAACCTAAATCTAATTAGGAATACAAAATCCTAAAATAGGAACCCGTTTTAAATAGGAACTTAAGAATCTATAAGATAAAAATGGATAAAGTTTAACTAGATTCACTCTATGAACTGAAATACCCCGAATTTTTATTTTCAAAACTTTCAAAAATTTTATTAAATCAAAAATCTCGATTTTCAACTATATGGGCTATAAAGACTGAACAATCTTAATTTGAGTCCAAAGTTTTATGAGTTGGGCCCAAGCCCAAATATATTGTCGAAATTTTTTAATTGAGAACAGTTAAAATTTTGAGAAATAATATGAAACTCCAGCAATTAATCTATTATGTATATATATAAATTAATTATCCTAAAAATCAAATATCATTACTATCAATATTTTTATTATTATTGAGTAAATGGAGGAAATGTTATGGAACCTAACTAAAATAATCAAAATGAATCGAACCGGACCCAGAAATCAAATTGATAGGGCGCAATTAATCTATTAATGTAATATATAACTAAATTTAATTATCCTAAAAATCAAATTATCATTAACTAATCATATAATTTTTTTTTGATCTTTATTATTGGAGTAAATGGAGGAATGTTATGGAACCTAACAAAATAAATGCAAAAGTGAATCGAACCGGAACCCAGAAATCAAATTGATTTTTATTGAGTAAATGGAGGAAATGTTATGGAACCTAACTAAAATAATCAAAATGAATCGAACCGGACCCAGAAATCAAATTGATTTTTTGAAAATCACACGAGTAACCTAAAAACCAAGTGAAAAACCTGCAAACCGAGTGAAAATCGTGCCAAATCATTGAATTAGACCAAACCGGTTTGAATCAAATCGGAATGGTCTAGAAGCCCAGATTTTTTTTTCTTCTTCCTTTTCTTTTTCTTTTCTTCTCCTTCTTCTTCTTGGATGGCGCGCGACAGTCTCCTCTTCTCCCTATGCAATGCGTTTCCGGCCACCGCACGATGAGCACGAGGTGGCGGACGACTCACCTTGTGCCACTGACTAAGCTTCTAGCCTCCTCATACGCGAACGGAGCTCCAGTGGTGCGATCAGACCTTCTTCCATAAATCGCCCCTGCTCTTCAATTTTCCTGCGAAATCTCGCCGTTCGGTGGGTACCAGGCGTCGGGAAGGGACCCAATCGACTCCTAGTCACCTCTAGAATACTTTCCCTCCATTAATTTTGAAGATAGAGCCCGTGGAGTGGAAGTGCCATTGAAGGTGGCGGTGAATCGGCTGTCGAACCCACTTTGCCCAATTAGAGGGCTGATCTCACTAAAATAACATTGGAAATGGAATCCTTGGTGAATTTTCAGTCGAATGGTATGATCGTTGCAAAATTTTGGGCAGTTTTTATTTTTCCAGCCACCATGAACAGTGGCGGTCCGGCGAGCCTCCGGCGAGGCCCAAAGGACAGAATCTTCCTCTCCTCGTGTGGATTGTGTTTCGTCATTCGATTTTCGATCGGTACGCTCTAAGATTCCATTCTCAATTTTTGTATATAAAGAATTAATTAATTAATGAATTTAATTGAGTAATTAAGTAAATTAAATTGAATAATAAGAAATTAGGTTATTGGAATAGCTTAAATTGAATAATAAGAAATTAGGTTATTGGAATAGCCTAAATATATATAGAATGTTTTTAGTCTTTTGTAAATAAATTAAATTGATTAGTATGCGGTAATTGCGATAATTGGATATGTTTAGTTAATTGGTTTAGGATCTTAGAATAATGTAATTGCAAATTAGTTTAAAACATTATCAAATAAATTACATGAACTATAATTATAATTAGAAGATTTGACATGGAAATAAGAATTCTTAGTTATTATTTATGTGAGTTAAATTGAGTAAATGATTAGATGAATGATTATAGTTATGGCGGATGGGGCGAGTTGATGTGAATTGCCCGATGGATGGGTTTTGAAAATTTGTTGTTGAATTATGGTTTGATCAAATTTTAGGGGAGGTGCTGCCGAAATTTCGATGGAACCTAGACTAGTCTTAATTAATAACATGATTAATAAGTTTATTTAGATTAATTCTATAGCTTGATACATAATGAATAAAGTGCTCTAATTATTTTATTATTATCATTATTATTCATTTAATTATTCAATTATTTATTTATTTTCATTATTATTGTTATTATTATCAATTATTAATTGGCATTTCATTAATTCATTTAATTATTCAATTATTTATTTATTTTCATTATTATTGTTTATTATTATTATTTATTTTATCATTGTTGTTTATTGTTAATACTATTTATTCATTTATTTGCATTTGAGTATGGATGTCTAATTGTGCATTGCGTTACGATGTTTAATTGATCAATATGTCTGCATTTAATTGCAATGCTTGATTAGTTGTGATGTGACAATGGTATACTTTGTTTTTGTGGAGTTGGGATGAAGTGGGTCACCATGGATTTGTGAGGACGGTGGATCGTGAATATGATTAAATTATGATATGATATGGAATTTGACTGTGAGGCAGGGTAAATGGGAGATCGGCGCCCCGGTGTGCACCGGATGATATTGATTATATGGAAACCACAGGGTGGCTTCTTATTGGGCGCACCTGATAATCTGGCGCACCTGAATAAATCTGGATTTGATGGTAGCCCGCAGGGTTTGCCTCCTGGGTTGTATGGAAAAGAAAAGAGAAGAATGGAAAAACAAATGAGAAGGGCTAGTCCAAATGAGGATTAAGACCGGTCGCCAAATGTATGGGGAATCGGCTCCCTATGGTAGCACACGTTAGAGAGGGGTTGGAGCCATGTGGGAGGAAGCGGCTTCACTGGGAGTTTAGGTGACGGCCCAGACCAAATTTTCCACGTGATGTGATTATCGTGAAGTTGAATAATAAGTGTGAGTGCTGTTTGTTATGTCCCATTTGGTGTGGACTGTCCTGCGTGAAGCATATAAACTAGGTCAAGACCGACTAGATTTGATATATTTATAACACATTTTTGGTTGTGATTTTGGGCCGGTGTGTTTGTGGAATAATTATTACTCCTTAGAAAACTCACATGTTTTTGTTTAATTTTTCAGAAAGTCAAGTTTTCCTCTTTAAATTCGGATTTAAGGGCTATGTTTCTTCCGCTGCAGGGCATAAAAAAAAAATTTTCCTAGTTCCATAATTAATTTGCTTGTAACTATAAATTGTAAATAAAAGCATTATGTTTATCAAAACAGTTTAGTGGATCCGCAAGTTGTAGAATTTTCTTGATATGTATAAAAAGCTATGTATATCAAACAGTTAGTGACTCCGCAGTTGTAGAATTTTCTTACATTTAGTCGTGTATTAACATAGACGAAATAATTCTGTGAGTCCATGTTAGAAATGCGATGTATTATAAATTGAGTCCGAACTGTGGAATGTTGTAGATTATAAATTTGGGCCAAGATATAATAAAATCATGAGGTTTATTTTTCTTAGTAATATGGGCTGAATGTTTGAAATTTATATTAAGATAGTAGATTTTAGTGTTTCAGGCTTACTACAGGCCTCGGCAGCCTTAAGCTTACCTGGGCCCTAGTGCCGGTCCGGCCCATGGAAACGGGTCATGACATGAACCCACCTAAATACGAATGAACCCACCTATAAACGAAACTAATGAAAATAAAAATTTTTTAAAGCTATTCTCACTTTAACCTTTTTATTTTTTTTTCAAGTGAATGGACATACGTATTATCGTTTCAAAGAAAAGATTCATTACATAGGGCCATAAGCCTAGTCTTGCCCAGTTATCTATTGTATATATAAAAATACGAATGGAGGGAGGGGGATATTGGGTTTGTAGCCCTTACTAAATATATGGATTGATAAAAATATCTTGAAATATTATAATTATATTGGTTGAAAAAATAAATGTAATTTAATTTTAAGTAGTTATTGTTGTTTACAGACTTGGACTTATTATGAGTTTCGAAAAGAATCGAATATACAAATGAAATACCGAATGATAGATTGGTTTGATAATTAAACGAATAATAACAATTAGCCAGTATATAATATGAGCTAGATAGAAAACAATTAATAACTGTTCCAGAATGTCACGACCCGAAACCATGGGCCGGACCAGCACTAGGGCCCAGGTAAGCTTACGGCCTCCAAGGCCCGTAGTAAGCCTAAATCACTAAAATTCCACTTTTTCAATATAAAATTCAAACATTTAGCCCATATTACTATGCAAAATGAATCTCATAAGTATTTTATACCTTGGCCCAAATTCAACGTCTTAAACTTTTCACGGATTGAATCCAATTTACAATACGTCACATTTATAATATGGGCTCTCAGAATCATTTCATCTATATTAATACACGACTAAATATATGTAAAAATAAATGTAAATTTTTACATTTTTAAGTAGTTATTGTTGTTTACAAGACCTTGGACTTATTATGAGGTTTTTCGAAAAGAATTCGAATAATACAAACTGAAAATTCACCGGAATGATAGATTGGTTTGATAATTAAACGAATAAATACAATTAAAGCCAGTTAATAATAATATCGAGCTGATAGAAAACAATTATATAAACTGTTTCAGAAATGTCAACGACCGAAAACGCAAATGGGACGGAAGCCAAGCCACCTAGTGGCCCAGTAAGCTTACGGGGGCCTCCAAGGCCGTAGGTAAGCCTAAAATCAACTAAAAATTTCCACTTTTTCAATATAAAATTCAAACATTTAGCCCATATTAAACTATGCAAAATGGAATCTCATAGAAGTATATTTTTAACACCTTTGGCCCAAATTCAACGTCTTAAAACTTTTCACGGAATTGATCCATTTACAATTCACGGATTGAATCCAATTTACAATACGTCACATTTATAATATGGGCTCTCAGAATCATTTCATCTATATTAATACACGACTAAATATATGTAAATTCTAGAACTGCGGAGTCCCTAACTGTTAGATATACATAGATTTTTATACATATAGATACATAGCAAAATAATTATTGAACTAGGAAAATTTTCTTTCTAGCCCTGCGGTGAAGGAATATAGCTTAACCGAATTAAAGAGAAACTTACTTTCTGAAAAATTAAACAAGATATGTGAGCCTTCTAAGGATTAATACTTTTTGCACAACGCACGCATTCACAAAAATTTGTAAATATATCAATCTAGTCATCCGACATTCCAATCTAAGTATCGACTAGTTGTATGCTCACGGCAGCCAAGTCACACAAATGGCATATTCCCACCAGCAACTTACAATTAATTAACATCCTTTCACATAATCAGCATCAATGGGGAAATTTGGTCTATGGCGTCATGAAAAACCCCCAATAAGCCGTCCTCACACATGGCCCATCCTCTCATAAACGTGTGCACTAAGGGTAACTGATTTCCACACTCCATAACATGGCCGACTGCGGTCTGAATCCTCACTTGACCAACCCTCTCATTGTTTTTTTCATTTCTCTTTTCTTTTTCATACCATAGGAGTGCCAACCTGGTCATCTCCGGTCAAATCTGAATCATCAGGCGCGCACACAACAGGAGGCCACCCCTGTGGGCTACAAATCAAATCCAGATTATCAAGGTGCCGCCCAATAAGAAGCGAACCGGCTACCATCAAATCCAGATTATCAGGTGCGCCCAATAAGAAGCGACCCTGTGGTTTCCATATCATCAGGTGTACACGGGGGCGCCGATCTCCCATTTATTCAAATATAAGTTAAATAGAAAATATATAATGTATTTGTGCGTTATAATGTTATTTAAGTGTTTTGAAATTAAATTCTTGCTTTTGTATAATATATTAATCATTAATTAACTGAATAATTAAATAATTAACTTTAAATAATAAATTCTACGTGAAACAGGCTGTAATTTGGAGAATCATAAAAGAAAATCTAATGAGTGAACTAAAATTAATTATGTGCTAAGTTTGTATATGCAAGTACTATGAAACAACTAATATGACATTTTTCCAAAATTAAAAAAAGAAAAAAGAATTGACTAAAATTGCAAAAATAGATAAAGTTCAGGATTTGTCTTTTCATTTAGCTCTTTTTTTCTCTAACGTGGCACGGTGATGTGGTGCCTATGTGTTAAAATGTAGATCTCACTAATGACAATATCATCAAGTTTGTAATAGATATAGAACGGAGACTATCATTGCAATGAAAAAAAAGGTTTACTGCTACAATTGCCAAAATTTAAAAAATTGACTAAAATTGCAAAAAGACCAAAGTCTAAGGGATTTTTTTTTATCATTTAACCAAATTTTAATTGTTTTTTGAGGTTTCAAATCATATGAATTAGCCTGTGGCTACTGCAAAGTTAGAACAAATCTGAAGTTCATTTTCCCTTGATACTCAATATGTATATATATATATATATATATACCCTTGATACTTCAATATGTATATTATAATATATATATATATATATATATATATATAGCATTCAGCTAACTCAGTTAATTTGAGTAACATTTTTAATCGAAGTAAATTAACCAAAAATTTTTTGACCTAACTGAATTTCACCGAACTAATTTTTTAACTGAACTTAACCAAATCATTTTGGCCAAATTAATTTTTATTATTAACCAAACCAGAGTTAAAGAAAATAAAGACTTGATTAACCGATGGAATTAACCGAAATTTATGATTAATTGACTTTAACCAAAATAAAAATTAAACGAAGTTATTAATTACTACTTAATCAAAATAAAATTGACATATTTTTATTTTAAATTTTATTTTCTACTTGATCAATGATGTAGTTTTGAGAGTTGGTTAATTTGATTAATTTGGCTATATTAACTTTTAACCGAACCTTTAACTGAATACCGCAAATTTAAGTTTCTTTAATTGAAGTTTTAATCAAATATTTATTCACCCAACTGAATTGGCTGAATTAACTAAATTGGCCGAATTGAATAGTCGCCCCTAATTTTAGCTTCTTTTTTTAGCTTAATTTAGTTCAATTTTTTTTATTTTTTAGGTTTCCAATTCTGCATAATCAAAGAATCTAAATTGAAATTAACAAGTGATATTATGTTATTAATATTTTTTACTCTAGCAATATTAATTTGATTAATGTGACAAAGTAAATTGCGGACGTCTTTAATAATTTCATAGATGAAATGGGAGACTTCAAAACATGCCTTTGTGAGAGCTTAGAGGGAATGGTTTCTTTGTACGAGGCGTCATTCCTTTCAGGAGAAAATGAGAATATCTTATAAGTTGCTAGAGAAACATGCCTTTGTGAGAGCTTAGAGGGAATGGTTTCTTTGTACGAGGCGTCATTCCTTTCAGGAGAAAATGAGAATATCTTATAAGTTGCTAGAGATTTTACTACAAGTTACCTCAACAACTACATTAAACAAAACAAGAATGACAATTATATATCCATGTTAATAACTCAAGCACTGACAATGCCACTGCATTGGAGAATGCTAAGGTTGGAAACTAGGTGGTTCATCGATGTCTATGAGAGAAAACAAAGCATGAATTCTCTTTTGCTGGAGCTTGCTAAATTGGATTTCAATTACGTCTAGGCAATATACCAAGAGGATTTAAAAGACACATCGTGGTACTTATGCCCAATTCTTTTCTCTTCTATTATAATTAATTTGGTCAAACTAAAGATTGCCATGTACTTGGGCTAGTAGTTTGTAATGTAGTTTGTAATTTCCTTCGCTTTTTGGTAAACTATATTTTTTTTTCATTTATAGGTGGTGGCTGAATGTAGGTCTAGGAGAAAAGTTGAGCTTTGCAAGAGACAGGTTAATGGAGAATTTCTTGTGGACTATTGGAATGATATTTGAGCCAGAATTTGGATATTGTCGGAGAATGTCTACAAAGGTCAATGTGCTCCTAACAACAATTGATAACGTTTATGACGTATATGGCACCCTAGATGAACTTGAATTATTCACCGATGCAGTTGAAAGGTCAGTTAATGGTGTTCCAACATCTAACAAAAGCTTCTTATTTGCCTAGCTGATCTAATACATTCACATATATTTTTATATCATTCACATTATATTTTTATTATAATTTAAAATTTGAAAAAATGAATTACTAAAACAATATTTTTATATAATATTAAAATTTGAAAAATGAATTACTAAACATAACAATAGTTCTCTAGGGTTCATAATAATGATTTTTCTTTTAATAGTAATTTTTTCTTCTAATTTTGTTGAAACACGTAACACTCACTTGAGTACCGCTGAATCAAAACTCATTGATACATTACATAGAGTTGTCATCTCCATAGTTCTAAACATAAATATTCCAATAGGTTTGACGTATTATTCTATTTGTGGCATGTATTTTATATTATTGGGCATATATATATATATATATGAAATTGGGTCATGACAGTTCCACCTGTAGGATGGCTTCTAGCAGTAATGTGCAAGGTCAATTTGTTAAGCCTACTAAAAATGTTATTAAACCAGCTCAAGTTTGGGTCCCCAAGAAACCGCCTCCTTCGACAAAGTTTCAAAATCAGAATTCTATTCCTAAAATTGATGCTGTATTTGTGTCTACAGCAGGCCCTCCTTCTCCTAAAATTAGTTCTGATGATCAGAATGTACCCACTACGTCTGCTCCCTCTTCGTCGAAGATCAATTCTGATGTTCAAATTATGCCAAGAGACAATATCTTGCTAGACAGTGCTCCTTTAGCTGAAAAGGTCTCTTGCCCGTCTGATGTGGACATTTGTGATGTTAATAATAAATTTTCTTCTTTGGGATACTTGTCAGAGAGGGATCAAATTGATTCAGATTTTATTACTAACGTTGATAATCTTAAAAAGTCAGGTTTAATGATTGCTAAAAAACTTTCTGCTGGTAATGTAGATGGTAATTTTGAGTTATCTTCTGGTTTGGGATTTATTAAAGTGATGAAGAAGCAACGTAATCGTAAAGTTAAAACAACTGTTGAGCTTCTCAAGCCTACACGACGTCAAAAGAAAGCTCAAGCTTCCTCTGAATGCATTTTGCCCAATGAATATAATGAGTTGGAATCTTAGAGGTCTTCCCTCTTCTTCGAATCGCTTGATTCGGCTTTGTCGCACTCATCATATTTTTCTGCTTTTTGTGATTGAACCCATGGTAGATGCTTGCAATAATTTTTCTTATGCTTCTAAACTTGGTTTTGACAATGTTTATTCGAGTAGCAATAACAAGATATGGATACAATGGAAAAATAGTTTTCTGCAGCTTTCTAATTTTGCGGATGATATTCAAGTCTTGAGTTGTTCTGCTTTTATTCGTTCCCTTTCGATAACCACTAATATGTCTACTGTGTATGGGTATCACTCACGTCTTCAAGGAGTACTCTTTGGTCTCGACTTCTCAGATTGAGCCGTGATACTGTTGGTGCTTAGGTGGTTGGGGGTGACTTCAATGCAATTAAATCTATGGCAGATTATGGAGGTAACTCGACTCCTAATTTGCTTAGCATGCAGGACTTTGTTAATACTTCTGATGATTGTGGCCTTATTGATGTTCCATTTCATGGTTCCAAATTTACCTTAAATGGTGTTCGTAGTAATGGTAGAGTGTGGGAGAGGTTAGATCGGTTTTCGGTGAATAATGCTTTTTTAGACTATTTTGATGATTTGAGTGTCAGACATTTGAGTAGAGCTACTGCGGATCATTCTCTTCTTCTGCTTATATGTAATAAGGTTGACTTCAATTTTCCTAAGGCTTTTAATTCCAACATATGTGGCTCTCTCATCCTACTTTCCTTCCTATGTTTCGTGCTACCTGGAATTTGAATTTCCACGGGGGAGGTATGTGTGGACTTTGTCTTAAGTTATTTGCTTTGAAAAAGGCAATTTGGGAATGGAATAAAAATACTTTTTGCAATATTTTGATGCAATTTAGGAAGCTAAAAAGGAAGTGGAATTAGTCGAAGCTACTTTTGATTCAGCCCCTTCACCGGACAACATGAAATTCTGGCAGGAGAAACAGTGTGACTTGATTAGAAAGCTTAAGCTTGAGGAGAACTTTTGGAAGCAAAAGGCTTATATTAAATGGCTCCTTGATGGTGATTCAAATACAAAATTTTTCTATAATTATGTGAAGATGGCCAGGAGAATTCATCGTATTTCTACTGTCAAGACTGAGGTGGGACATGGATTTCTAATCAAGCTGATTTGGGCGCGGAAGCTGCCACTTTTTTTTCTTCTCTCTTCAAGTGCAGTGATACTCAGCAGAATTATCAACCACTTTTGGATAATGTAACATCCTTGGTTACTGAGGAGAATAACAAAAACCTTGAAAGATCTCCAGCTGATGATGAGATTAAATAGGCTATTTGGCAACTTGATCCGAATAGTGCTCCTGGTCCTGATGGTTTTGATGGCAGATTCTATAGAGAGTGTTGGGAGATAATAAAGTGGGATGTGTGTAGTGCAGTGAAGGAGTTTTTCTTGGGTTTGCCCATTCCGAAAGCCTTTGGAAGTGCTCAAATTATAGACCTATATGCCTTACAAATTTTATCAGCAAAGTATGTACTCGCGTCTTGGCAAATCGGGTCTCTCCCTTGCTGGACTCTTTGATTTCTAGAGAGCAAGTAGGTTTCATGAAGGTTCGCTCAATTCATGCTCAGATCATGCTTGCTAATGAGATGGTTCATGAGATTGACAAAGCATCGAGGGGTCACAATCTAGCCATCAAGTTGGATATGGCCAAAGCCTTTGACAGGGTGGATTGGAAGTTTTTAGAAGCAGTTCTGGTAAGATTCGGTTTCTCCGCTCATATGATTAATATTATTATGAGCAATCTTGCTTCTACCCGGCTTTCTGTGCTTGTTAATGGGGTTCCTTACTATTTCTTTCAACCGACTAGAGGAGTTAAACTATTATTATGAGCAATTATTATTATGAGCAATCTTGCTTCTACCCGGCTTTCTGTGCTTGTTAATGGGGTTCCTTACTATTTCTTTCAACCGACTAGAGGAGTTAAACAGGGAGATCCGTTGTCACCGTATCTGTTCATTTTAGCTTCTGAAAGCTTTGCTCGGGGTCTCAATCATTTAATGGCAGCGGGTATAATTTCACCTTATAAACTAGCGAGGCATTGCTCTATAGCTTCTCATCTTTCTTTTGCAGATGACTTGTTGATTTTTCTTAAAGGGGATGTCAGAAACATTTCAAATCTCAAGAAATTTTTGCTTTCTTATCAGCAAGCTTCTGGGCAACTGATCAATTTCAACAAAAGCTCTTTTTATTGTTCTAAGAATGTCTCTCAGGATAAGGTTTCTCGTATTCAGGATACTTTGGGCATTAAAAGGAGGCCTTTTCCTTTTACATGTCTTGGTGTGCCAATCTATCAAGGTATTAATATAGCTCATTATTGCAGTGGCATTTTGCAAAAAGTCGAGTCAAAGCTCACGGGTTCGAGTCAAAGCTCACGGGTTGGATAAAAAAAATCCTCCTCTTTGAGTGGCTGTTTATTATTGATCAAACATGTTCTAAATTCCATTCCTTTGCACATAATGGGAGCCATGGCGTTGCCATAAAAAATATTGAGATTATTGGATCGTAAAATGGCTACTTTTTTTTGGGGTAGTGATGTGGATCATTCGAAATATCACTGGGTCAGTTATCATGATATGTGTTTTTCGACTAAGGAAGGAGGACTAGGTTTAAGATCTCTTCACTCTTTACAGAAAGCCTATTCGCTCAAAATCTGGTGGACTTATATGTAGAGAAATTCCTTATGGGGCTAATTATATGTTCCAAAAATATCATCGGTAAGGAGAAATGCGCTATCAACTTATCGACTCTTGCACTTGGAAACGGATTTGTCAAGTTCACTCTTTTGCTTGCTCACTTGTTGATTTTTTAGATAATAATGTGGTGTGGCGAGGAGAAAGGAATGGCAACTTTACTCTTGCTTCAGCCTACAATTGTGTTAGAGAGAGTGAAGCTTCTTGCCTTTAAAGCAAAGCTATTTGGGATTCATCTTTCCCGCTTAAGCTTTCCACTTTTACATGGAAACTCCTCAGGGGAGCTTTACCTTTGCTATGACGTCTTCAATTATTTGGGATTTATGGTCCATCCCGTTCCCCATTTTGCTTCAAGTCGGAGACAACTGCTAACCACCTTTTTATTTCTGCCCCATCATTGCTAAACTTTGGAATTATTTCGGCTCTTTTTTCTTGGATACTCTTGAGTCACAAAATTCTCTGCGGCAAGCGTTGATTTTTTGGTGGCTTTGTTAAAGACCAAATTCAGCTATGGGTAAGCTTAGGCGCTTGGTACCTCAGGTAATTGTGTGGTCTATATGGAAAATTTATTGTAAGTGTAATTGGGGTAATGAAGCTTGCTTTTTAGACCTCCTTTTATAAAATATCAGTAGGTTGTTATTAAACTGGAGCATTGCTAATTCTGGTAAGAGATTTGCAGCAACTTGGTCTGCACAAGCTGATTGCCACTTCATTTGGGCTTCTTTTGGCAAACATAAATTAAAGTCAATGATTATTACTTGGATTCGGGCTAGGCAAGATTGCTATAAACTGAATATTGATGCGTCGTTCAATAACTTTTCAGCAGTGGGGGGTGCTATCCTCCGAAATAGCCATGGTAATTTTCTTGCTGCTGCTTGTTTTCCGATTGTTACCAAGGCAACTTATGATGCAAAGCTTGAGGCTTTGATTTGGGGGCTTTCTTAGAGTATTGATAAAGGTTTTTATCCTATCCAGGTGGAAATGGATTGTCTGGATCTAGTTGCTTATGTTAATCGGGCACAATGGATTAGAGCAGGTCCTTCGGTTTTGTTGCGTGTTGCTTACTTGTTGCATCTTCACTCTTCTTCCATTCATCACATATATCGTGAAGGAAATCAAGCCGCACATCTTTTGGCTACTCATCAAAGGATCCATCATACTTCTCTCTCTTTTACCTCTTTTAATTCTTTGCCTCATTTGCTTAAAGGTATTGTATTATTGGAGGCTATGGGGACTACATATTTGAGATATAAATAAATAAAGGTATTTGGTATTATTGGAGCTAGTGGGGACTACATATTTGAGAATATAAATAAAAGGATCATCTTTTTCATAGTAAAAAAAAGAATTGGATAATGTATACATCCTTAGTGAGTTGAGTTGAGTCAGTTATAGAGGTAAGTTGAAGTTTTGGGTTGAATCCAAACCTTTGTTGGGGTAGAATGAGAGTAATAAGTGGACTTATGTGAATGTGTGGACTTATGTGAATGTAAAGTTTGGACTTGTTTGCATCAAAACATACAGCTTGGGTATGAAGTTGTAGCCTTTGTATACTTGAGGTACCAATTAGCTATGTTACACAGCCAACTCACGTCTTCTAGAGACTACCTGTTCTTATCAGTTCAAGTTTCTATTTTCATGTTTATCATTCTCCTCTTACTTGTCCCGCTCTTTTCCTTTCACTCTTCAAACATAGTTAAGCATTAAGTCAACTGCAAGTAAGTAAAATTCCTTGAAGTGTGATGTTATTTCCTATTTCATTGAGTTATATTGGAGATGAGTTATGAAGTTCAAAGGTAGCAGAAAAGAGAAGTTAAAACAGAGCCCCAGCTTTGAGAAAGCTAAAACAGAGTCCGCAGTTTTTGAAAACCAAAGGTTTTGATATCTCCTCATTTGTTATTTTCCCATGTTCTTTGCATGAAAAACTTGTATGGAGTGTTGTTCATGAGAATTCTTGTTGAGTATTGTTGAATGAAAGAAGTGGGGAAGAGGTGAAAACAGGGGGATAAATAATATGAAGTGGAAACAGAGTTTGCTGGAAATTTTACCAAGCAAACTTTAATCTTGATTTTGACCCGCATTTAATGATTTGGGAACTAGGAATTGTCATAGAAGAGTTATTTTTTCCTCTTATGGTGTATCTTTACGTGGGGCTTTTGAATCATCAATTTGGAAAATTGGTATATTGAGAAGTTTAATGGCCAAAAAGAACACAGACTGCACAATCTGGAAACACGTCGCCGCTCGCGCGGTCTGGAAAGCAAGTTCGCGCTTGCGACTTTCACTCTCTGACTCTCAATTGCACAACTCGCGCTTGCGAGGATCACATGCGCGGTCGCGACTTTGGCCAGAAGCTCTCTGACTCTCAGTGTGCGCATCTCGCGCTTGTGTGATTCGCGACTTGTGTTGCGCGGTCGCGACTTCAGCCAGAAACACACTGACTCTCAGGATGCACAAGTCGCGCTCGGGACTTTCACATACGCGGTCGCGACTTGAGCCAGAAACCCTCTAACTCTCAGTCGCGATTCTCACGCTCGCGATGTTGCAAGGCGCGCTCGCGACTTATGCTGTGACACTCTTTTGCCTTTCATTTGCTATGTAATTACATTCCTTTGCTCAACATGCATTGCCTCAACATGCATGCATCCAATCATTTTTACAACAAAAATACAACATAAGAACATGGATTAAAACAAACAATGTAAGCATTTATATGGTGTTGAAATCATATCAAATATGATTAAACTATGAGTTTGTGAAACCATTATGTGCTATTGGGTTACATTGTTGACATGCTATCTTAAGCTCATTGAGGTTAGGTAGAAACCATGTAATAAGGCTATGTCGCGAACATAGAATAGCAGATCTGCAGCCCCATACAGTTTGGACTCCGGGTTGAGTGGATATGATTAAACCGTGCGGTGCAAATCCGGTTAGGGGCACCAAAACGGACAATATTGGCATAGGCGAATCCGGTTTGGGGCCTATGGCATACAATTTCATCCAGTTTCATACAGTTTATCTTATCACTTCGGTTTCACTATGACCTTATGGAGCCATACAGATATCTTGACATAACATTTCATGAATCATACAGTCTACTATACAGCAAGAAAGATTATCAAGATAAAATGAAAATATCATGATCTGTGTGCTTACATTCCATATGCTTACATTCCATATGTGAGTAAATGTGTATTTATTTCCACATATGTATGTGCTTATATGTTCTTCATTCATTGTGATATTCACTGAGTTTAATCAAAGTTGCAGAGTTCATACAGCATAAAAAACATCAGGTAAGATCATGAAAGTATAATGTTATATATGCTTACAAGTTTCTTTATTTAATTCTTAAGGAGCCATACAATCATGAGTTGGTATTAATCATAACTTATATGATGTGACTAAAAGTGCATAAGTCATACAGCATAATGAATAGCAAGTAAGACAATACTGTTATGTATTCTTACATGTTTATTGTAGAAATGTAAAACCAGCAAATAAATGGAAAATGGAAAGATATAATGAGCTATGTATTCATAACATTATATTATTGATTTTCATGCGCCAGGAGCAAACAACAAAACTTATAGAGATGAAACGACAGCGTTAAGACCATGATCAGTAATCATAATGTTGTAAATCATTAAGGGTCATGTAAAGATTATGAGCAGAAGTAGATTAATTCATGTTTATGAGTTATATAGTTTATCGTTGCTACAAAGAGACATTCATTTAAAATTTACTGATTCTTTCATATGCAGTATCCAAGCTTATCGCAGACATTGGTTATTTTGAATAGTTTGCCATCGCCACTTTGATTAGTATGTGAAGCGTATAAAGAACCACTGCGAGTTTATTACTCAGCGCGTCGATTTTTTTTATCACACGCTGGCAGGTTGAGCATATCAGCTAAGGTTGTTACTTGGAAGACTGAGGTAGATGACTATCAAAGCAGAAGTGCTTTAATTTTTAAGAGTTCATAGTAATACTTTAGATTGAAGAAGTTGTAGAGATAACTTTACACCTATGTCAGTGTATTAAGAGTTATTGGCATTATTAATTCTATTGTTAGAGCTTATGTGATTGTAAATAATAAGTGAAGACATGTAATATATTTTCGGCGGTAAGCTAGGCTTGGTTGTAAGAATAAATTTATGATACATGATTTGGAAGCAATGAAATAGTTTTACTATATGATACATCGATTAGGTCATGAAAACGCTCTTCTGATTATAGATTTCTGTAGATGAGAATTCATGTCAGATAATTTTAAATGCTTTAGACGGATTAGATAATTATGGTCATACAGCATAATGAATAGCAAGTAAGACAATGAACATATACTGTTATGTATTCTTACATATTTATTGATTTCATGCAGACAACACAATGAACAGCAAGTAAGACCATGATAGTATCATAATGTGTAATATACGGTTCATGTAAACGAGTTATGAGAGAAGTAGATTAATTATGTTTATGAATTAGAAGTCTATTCGTTGCTACAAAGACACATTCATGTTAAAATTTACTGATTCTATGAGTATCAATGCTTTATGAAATTGGTATTTGAAGTTAGTTGCCATCGCACTTTGTTTAGTATGTGAATTATATAGAACCACTGATTTATACTCAGCGCGTCGGATTTTTATCACGCGCAGTTGAAGGATCGGGTTGTTAACTTGGAAGACTTGAGATACTAAATCCAAAGCAGAAGAAATGCTTAATTTGGTCATAGTAGATTGAGAGATGTAGAATTAAGATTTATGCATCATGTATTAAGAGTTATGCATGTATAAATTCTTTTATTGTTAGAGCTTATGTGAAATTGTAAATATAGGAAACATGTAATTAGTTTTGGTGAAGTAGTTGTTGATAAGAATAATATTTATGAAATGATTGGAAGATGAAATAGTTTACTATAGTGATATGATTAGGTTCATGAAAACTTGATATAAGATTCTGAATGAAATTCATTGCCACATATATAAATGCTTTTGAGGATTTAGATAATTATGTTAAAATATTTATATTAAAGGTTATTGTGTTTATGATTGATTCTTGGAGCGATGTTGGAAGTTAGAGTGAATTTGGGAGTGTTATTATATTCATTATTTTGCATACAGTATGCTATCAGCATGACAAGATATAAGTGCAACCAGAGTGTGTAGCGTCTCGGCTCGGGTCATTCGGGTTTGTTAACGGGTGGACCGGAAGCATGACAAGATATAAGTGCAACCAGATTGTAGCGTCTCGGCTCGGTTCATTCGGGTTAACGGGTGGACCGGGAAGGGGTGTTACAGGATATGGCGTTCCCACTGCAGTCGCTTCATTGCATTTCTTCACGATTACTGTTCACCCTTCCATTAATTCATCCATTCATTCAGAAACTACTTATCATTAAAAATGGATATAAACTTCGGTGAAAAAAAAATTTTATATATATATATATAGCTGGTTAGAAATAATAATTCATTTTATATGTATCTTTATGCTTTGTTTTCAGATGGGATGTCAATGCAATAGAGCAACTTCCAGACTATATGAAGATTTGTCTCTTAACTCTATATAACACAATCAATGAACTAGCTTATGATACCTTTAAGGAACAAGGACTTCACATCCTTCCTTACTTAAAGAAATTTGTTCTTATTAATAATGTTCTTAAATCATTTGTGATGGTACTCGTTTTTTTTATGTATAATGATAACTATTCTATCACTTTAATGCTTTCCAGTGGGCAGATTTATGTAAAGCTTACTTGTTAGAAGCTAAATGGTATTATAGTGGATATACACGAACTCTACGAGAATATATTGCTAATGCATGGATTTCTGCAACGGTTCCAGTGATGTTAGGCCATGCTCATTTCCTTTCAAGAATGCCAATAACAACTAATGCCTTGAAAGCCTTGAAGGAATGTCCCAATATAATTCAATTGTCAGCCATGATTGTTAGACTCGCAGACGATCTTGGAACATCCTCGGTGTGCAAGCTAGTTAGTTTATCCAAATCCTCTTTTTCAATTTATTTCTCCTTATATTTTTCTGTTAAATTCTTATCATGTATTCTCTATTTTGTTCTCATTATTTATAGGATGAATTTAAAAGAGGAGATGTTCCAAAATCAATTCAATGTTATATGCATGAAACTGGAGTTTCAAAAGTACGAGCTCGTGAGCACATTCGATATTTAATTAGTGAAATGTGGAAAAAGATCAATGAAGAATGAGTTGTTGATTCTTCATTTTCGAATACTTTTTTTGACATGGCAATTAATGTAGCTAGGATAGCACAATGCATATATGAATATGGCGATGGGCATGGAATTCAAAATCAAGAAACTAAGGATCGTATTTTATCATTATTGGTTCAATCTATTCCTTATACGCCGGATTTTCCATAATTTCATATTTCTATGTATTCTAGTGTGTAACGAAAAAATGTTGAAAGTTTTAAATAAGCTTCATTAGTTACGGACTATTTTGGTTTATGCAAACCGATTGAATAAATATAATTAAGAAATATGTGAAAAAAACCCCATTTTGCTTTATGTGATCACTTATGGGATAGACTTGTACATTTCAATGAGTTGATATGGTTTTAATAAATAAAAGTGTAACGAATGACTCATGAGGATGAATAGTTTGGCACTGTTTTCTCTTAAGTGAGGTGGAGGGTTCCATCTTTATAAATGAAGCAAATACTTGATGAAGGTATATAAAATTTAAAGGCTTTCAAGTTACGTTTTGAAAATGGTGAGACACATATGTTGATTTTGACATAATTTAAGGACTCATTTTCATTTTTCCTGAATAGTAGATTTGATTTAAATAATTTATTTTTAATTTCAAAGTATAAATAAAATAGGACCTATCAGTTCACATAAATAATTCGAACCAAATCAATTTAGTTCGATTTTTCTATTTTAGCTACTTTTTACCTCTTAGCTTATTTGAGTTCAAAATTCGATTTAGGTTTTCAATTTTACATAATTAAAAAAACTAAACTAAAATATTCAACAAAACTATTTTTTAGAAAATTATATACCTTAAAAATCAAACTAACTAATTTCTCATTGATTTTTTTGGTTCGGTCTATTTATACTCGGCCCTGGAAACAATGAAAGTAACAAGTGATATTGTATTAATATTCTTTTTACTCTAGCAATATTAATTTGATTAATGTCACTAAGTGAATTGTAGATGTCTTCAGTAATTTCATAAATGAAATGGGAAATTTCAAATTGCACCTTTGTGAGAGCTTAGAGGGAATCCTACATTTGTACGAGGCATCATTCCTTTCAAACAATATCTTACCTTGCAAGACCTACATTATTGACATTGACAATCTTGGATATGGCCTTTATGACAATCTTGGAAATTTCAAACCGATTACAAGTGTCTCTTTTTGCTTGTAATAATGGCTTTCGAGGCACTGTTCTTGCTTATGAGGTAGAGTTTGGCTCCTTCACTAGCAATGGCTGTGAAACACCCCGTAATTTTATTTTCAAAACTTTTAAATTTTTATTAAAGCAAAAATCAGAAATTTTGATTACGTGGGCTACAAATACTGTGTAATCTTGTCTGCGTCCGAATTCGCGAGTTGGGCCGAAGCCCAAAGTATAGTATCGCAACTCCTAATCGAGAATTTTCGAAACTTCTTAAGAATTATATTGGGTGTTAAATTATAAGTCAATTAAAATTAATTAACCGGACCCGTAAACCAGTTTGAAAGTCCTGAAAACCAAGTGAAAAATCTGTAAACCAAGCAAAAATCGAATATAATCACTAAATCGAAACAAATGAGTTCGAATTGAACTGGAATGGTCTAGAAGCTTTGGATTTTCCCTTCCTTTCTTTTTCTTTCCTTCTCTTCTTCTTCTCCGGCAACACACCCCCTCCTTCCCTCTCCTTCCCTTCCCGTTTCCGGCCACCGAAGCTGATCGAGCTCACCTTCTCGCCGTCGCATCACCCCTGCGATTGCTTCGGCCTCCCTTCCCCTCTCTCCTTCGTTCCTGGTGAGCATAGCAACTGCAGGAGGGGTCACGATTTCGCTCGACAGTGAAGTTGCTCCTCCAACTCGATTTTTCGGTGATTCTTCCCCTCTCTCCTTCGTTCCTGGTGAGCATAGCAACTGCAGGAGGGGTCACGATTTCGCTCGACAGTGAAGTTGCTCCTCCAACTCGATTTTTCGGTGATTCCAAACCACGAGTCAAGTGTGACCGACCTTATCCCTTCCCCTGCTTCTGTTTTATGGCGTCAGTCTTGAGTAATGTCATCTGGATCAGAAGAACCCAAAGAAAGGTTGCTGGCCGAAGGTTTAGAGGCAATTTTCGACCAAACGGGGCACACTCAACTCAAATTGGTTATATATTTGAGGTCCTTGCATGATTTTGAGCATTTTGTGTGCGGGTTGCTCGAATCTAAGCTGTTTGGATTTCTCCGACCCTTGTGGTGGGCAGCGGTGCTCCGGCGTTAATAGCAGAGTGATCAGTGTAAACTATTGTTTTAGCTCCAATTAAATAGGCTCTAAATTTATTGAAAGCAAAAACAATAGCTAGGAGTTCTTTTTCGGTAGTGGCATAGTTTAATTGTGCATCATTTAGTGTGCGGCTGGCATAATAAATAACGTGCAATTTCTTTTCTTTTCTTTGCCCGAGAACAGCTCCTACAAGATGATCACTTGCATCACACATAAGTTCAAAGGGATGACTCCAATCTGGTGTAGAAATGATCGGTGCTGATGTCAACTCCTTTTTCAATCTGTTAAAGGCAACTAAACACTCTTCGTTAAAATTAAACGGAACATCCTTAACAAGCAAATTACAAAGAGGTTTAGTAATTTTGGAGAAATCCTTTATGAATCTCCTGTGAAAACCAGCATGGCCAAGGAAGCTTCTCACTCCCCTTACTGAGTTTGGAGGGGGTAGCTTCTCAATCACTTCCACCTTGGCCTTGTCCACTTCAATATTTACTAAATGGTTTTATATAAATGTACTTTGTATAGAGAGTATAATACTGAAACCTATAAGTGTATATATCTCCTGTGTATACTATTTAATAATTTAACACTCTCAAGTAGGTAATTGGGCAAAGATTATTGAGGCCAAAAGGTAAGATTAGACTACTCAACAATCCCACACCAAGGATAACTGTAAAGAGTTATGGTATTATGGGTAGCTTTCGTACACTAATTGCACTCTCACCACCTTGGACACATTGAGACCATCTTCAATCCCCTCTTGTCGAGATGTTTGATAAAGGAGCTTAAGCCCCACAAAATTAGCTATTCTCATTTGCATACATAACCCATAATAGAATATTAATATTAAATCATCTATATCCCCTTAGTTCAGAAGCAAATAGTTCCACTTCAATCCCCTCTTGTGAGATTTTGTGGCCCAAAACAATTCCTTCACTAACCATAAAATGACATTTTTCCCAGTTCAGAACAAGGTTAGTGTCTTCACATCTTGCATTACTAATGAAAGGTTATAGAGGCATGATTCAAAGGAATGACCAAACACAGAAAAATCATCCATAAAAATTTCTATGAATTCTTCAACCATGTCAGAAAAAATGGACATCATGCATCTTTGAAAAGTTGCAGGAGCGTTGCATAAACCAAAGGGCATTCTTCTATATGCAAAGGTACCGTAAGGACAAGTGCTGGTCTAATTAGTGCAAAAGAGGTTTGAACCATGTAAAGAGTGACTATTGGAACGGAGTAGTTTTCTAGCAGATATTTTTACGCGTGCTTTTGATTAAAGGTTGCCCGATGTATGAGCTTGAAGCAAATTAGGTTAATCTGAAGATATAGGTCACACTGAGTTTATTGGAGGTTCATGATTATCGTCAATTTTCAAGGAAAGCGACTAGAACCAGGTTAAGTTCAGGGTGAGTAAAAATAACCTACCAAAGGTCTTACAAGACATAATTGATCAAAAAAGAGCAAGGTAAGGAAAAATAGATCACACTTAAAGTAATTGCTTTGTTCATTTTATATAAACATAATTATAAACTAACACACTTAGTAGCGTCTAAATCTCTAGATATTATTCTTTAACTTGATATATGATATTAAGACCTAAAAGGTTCTTCATTTGTTAATAGTGATTATAATGTTCTATTTTATTTTTTATTTAGAAATCATTATGTTCTATATTCTCTCTATATGCTTTAGTGACAACTAGTACATATTATTTATAGGATCCAATTGATGAATTTACATATCTCATACCTCCACACTTTACTATATTTAATAATTTGGAAGCTGGTAATATGAGATATTATTGGCATTCCTGCACTCCATCTCATAGTTTAAGTGTGCTTTAATGAAATTTTGCTAGGATTTAATCTACAAATATGTCTCTGATTATTATGGGGCATTGCTCTCGTAACGTGACTCTTCCTTTGTTTGGCGATGGTTCGTGAGGAATTTGTCGAATCTTGCAAGAGTTTGGGAATGATTTACACATATGGTGTTTAAGGTTTGTAGTACGCGACAAGTCTCCTTTGAAAAATAATTAAAATATCCTCGGATTTTTACCCTGTCATATCTATGGTTTATGGCGAATCATGCCACCCACCTGGTGCACCTTGATGATATGATATGGGTGTTTACCTGATTGATATGGTATATAATTTTAGAAAACGCCACAAAGATGGTGCTTGTGGATACTGTTTTGGTTATTGGAAAAGTGACAAAGAGGGTATAAAATGACACGCACTGAGCGTGTAGGGGCGTCAGTCAAGCTGAGGATGTTA